TCTGCATTTAAATCTCTGCTTACCCCCAAGTCATGAAGATAGTCTCTGATTTTTTTCTAAAAGCCTTCTGGTTCTAGCTTTTACATTTAATCTATCACAAATTAATTTTTATGCAAGGGGCAAGGTAGGAATTGAGAATTATTTTTATTCAATATAAATATCCAGTTGTTCCAGCACTATTTATTTAAAAAACTTTCCTTTCCCCACTGGGTTGCTTTGGATCTCGCTGAAAATTAAATTACCATAAACTGTGGGTCTATTTTGGCCTTTCTGTTTATTGATTTATGTATGATCCTTACAGCAGCACACACTATCTTAGTCATTGTAACTTAGTCGATATAACTTTTAGAATAAGTTTTTCAATATGGGGGGAAAAAGCCTGTAGGATTATGAGAGGGATAATGTTGAATTTATAGATCAATTTGGGGAGAACTGTCATCTAATTAATTCTGCCAATCCATAAACATGTCATCTCTCTTCACTTATTCAAATCTTCTTTAGTTTTTTTTTCAGTAATGTTTTATTGTTTTTAATAGAGACTTGTTAAAGGTTTTTAAGTGTTGTACTTTTATTAAAAGTGGGATATAGCCCTGGCCAATGTGGTTTAGTGGTTAGTGTGTTGACCATGCTCACCAAAGGGTCCTGGGTTCGAATCCAGCCAAGGACACTACTTGGGTTGCAGGTTCCTCACTCCAGTTGGGATGCATGCAGGAGATAACCAATTGATGTGGGTCTCTCACATCGATGTTTTTCTCTCTCTTTATCTCTTCTCATTCCCCCTTTTCCCTCCCTTACACTCTAAAATCAATGGAAAAAATATCCTCTAGTGAGGATTAACAACAAAAAAAGAGGGATATAGGCTTATTATTGATCATCTCAATTCAAAACTACTTGTTATTTATTAGAGCTGTTCCAGCATATACTTTCTCTGTGGAATTATTAAATACATTAAAAAATCTGAGCAATTCCGTTTATTAGTATATTCTGTATAGTAAGCAAGTCAAGAATTTCTAAAAATGGGATAAGTACTCTATAACTTGGCAGTAAAATAAAGTAATGGATTTAGTACCAAAGCATTCATGTTGGAAACAGGATCAGAAAATTTTTATAATCCACTCTCATTTTGAATATATTTTGTGATGGGGAAAGAAGGGAGTTAGATATATGATTACTTTTGTCTGAAGTTACATTGATCCTTTAAGCACAAGACTCTTGTTACTTAACTGTTCCAAAGCCAACTCTTTTTCTTTTTCTTTTCTTTTCTTTCTTCTTCTTCTTTTTTTTTTTTTTACTTTTGGCCCACTTAATCATAACCAAGGGTTTCAAGAAGAGAGTAAGAAGTATTTAGCTTTGACTTTTGAGCAAATACAACACAAGCTCCTTTTCCTTTGCTAAAGACAGGCCTGTATCCAAAGACTCTTAGGTTTCCCACTTGGCTTTCTTTCTTTTGTAACTTATTTGTCTTACTTATTCCACTTCATTGTTGTTCATTTATCTCATTCTCTCCTTCTTCCTAGCATCACTAATTTCATTCTCCATATCTTCAATAACTGATTCTTCAGAATTCTCTATCAGGATCTGAAAACGGACAGAACAAATTCCTCATCATCACCGCTCCAACCCTAAAAAGCAGACCTCTATCTTTGGCCTTTGCTTGCTTCTTGGTGGCTTCTCTTCTGGTTTCTCCATATGCCTTAACTTTCTTCCTATGATCTTCTTGTCAAATCTGTCCTCTTCTTGAAGTCTTTCTTTTGCTTTATTAAGGTTGACACTTCTATAATGCTTTTCCTCAGTATCTTTCACAATGGATTTCTACATTGGTGGCTAACAGTGAACCAAATTCCCTTTGTCAGCAAATGTTATTTCCTTATTCACTTAAAATGTTTCATTACTTTTTTTTCTGTTTGTTCCTGTGACTTCCTTGATTTTCTGGGCTCATCAGTATTAGGAGCAGATTGAGTTTGAGGCCCTCTTATTTGTACTACTTTCTCTCTCGTTTTCCCCTCATCTGCATCTCTTCCTGCTCCTCTTCCACCCCCTTCATTAGTAATACCACTAGCCAGTTTGTCCCTGTCCTCTCCTGCTTCTGGTCTCTTCCCACCTTACTGAAGGATGGACAGTTTCTCCCTGGTGAGGGACAGAGCCCTAAGCTCATTAACAATTCTTTGATCAGTTGTATCTACAATTTCTGATAAATTTTATCCAAATTATCATAGCAAGTCCAAGAGACATAGCATATTTGGGTAAAGGTAACTTGTTCAAATCAAATATTTCTTCATCCTTCATCAGGTATACTAACATATGTAGCAAACAAAACACCCCTGAGCTCTTTAATTGTTAATCCTGGACTAAAAAAGATTCCAGTATTCCTCCCCCCTACCCCTCTAGATTCCCATAAGTTTCTCTGGATTGGTTTTTATTTTCTTACTAGAGGCCCGGTGCACAAAAATTTGTGCACTCGGGGGGGGGGTGTGTCCTCAGCCCGGCATGTGCCCTCTCGCAGTCTGGGAGCCCTCGGGGGATGACCACTTGCTGGCTTAGGCCTGCTCCCTGGGAGATTGGGCCTAAGATGGCAATCAGACATCCCTCTGGCATCCCGGCAGCCCTCAGGGGATGTCCACTTGCCAGCAGGGAGCAGGCCTAAACTGCAGTCGGACATCCTTAGCGCTGCTGAGGAGGCAGGAGAGGCTCCCACCACCACTGCTGTACTGGCAGCCATCAGCCTGGCTTGTGGCTGAGCAGAGCTCCCCATGTGAGAGCACCCTGACCACCAGAGGGCAGCTCCTGCATTGAGCGTCTGCCCCCTGGTGGTCAGTGTGTGTCATAGTGA